CGGCGCCATGGCGGCGGGTGCTGCAGCTGGCCTACCCTGGCGCAAGGGGTGGCCGAGCCTCCTCCTATAGCTTCAGGGGTCAACTAAAAGACATGTTAAATGTTTTAAAGGCATTAAAAAAAAAAAGCAAGAACTGATCTACAGAACAAGATATTCCTTTAACTTTATTTTTAAGTACCAGTAAGAAGGAGCATTTTAAAAACAAAATTCTAAATTTCTAAATTTTGAAATGGCTCATGCTCAGTGCAAAATGTGCCAGAGTACATTAAAACAGCTGATCTTAGAGCTGTGGCTGTACCCAATGAATTCCCATGAGCCATTGATACCTTCCAGAATTCACCGTGTAGAACAAGCCAGTGACACTTTGCTCACCTCCTCTAGTGATGTAGAGCATATATGTTAGTGGCAGAAGGGCTTTTCTGAGCTTCCCTTCTTTGACTGGTAAATTTATACTTGCATCTAAGTTAGCATCAGTTGGTAAAATCTGCAAAAGTAAGTTACTGATTAGTTAGTGGAGTATCTTCAGTTCTATCTTCATGTTTTCAGACGAAATAATACCACAGGGTTGAGAATCTTTACCAGAATTTGGTCAAAAAACATGAGAAATCAATACATTTTTTTCCTCTTAGTTAGGAAAAATTAAGCCCATAAAAAAGATAGAAAGAAAACAAAGAGGCAGCACTGGAAAACAAGATAGTACATAGTATACTATATATGTAGTGTATATATATAGTATATATCTTCTTGAAATAAAACTGTTTTAAAAGTTTGGGAATAATGTCAGTGGGAAACACAATTACATACAGTTGCTCCAGAATGGCGTAAAATGGTTAGAAGATATAAAAATATTAGAATAGCATCTGAATTGACACTGTCCACCTGTGTAATTGTATATTAATTTTAACACTGGCCATTTTATTTCTGAGAGAAGAAACAGACCTACTGGGCAAAAATATGAAGGAAGTGGAAGATTAAAATGTGGTCCAAGGATTTAGATTCTTTATCTGGAGCTGAATGCATTCTGACTCTTGGGCTACCTCAATTTTTGAGACTCCACAAATGTTGGCCTTTGAAACCTCACTTTGTAATTCTGCATTCTGCTCAGTTTTTGAAGATCTAAATGATCAAATGTAATGGAGATGAAAATACTGTAGGCAGCCTTGAATTCTGTGACAATGAGAAGGGTTTCTTAGTTTTATTATTTCCAGCTGTCCCCATGCAGAATGGCTTGTGGAGTAGGCAGTAACAAAACTTTCCTGCGTTCCAGTAATACTTTCATTGCCAGTTATTCATGGAGAAAAAATATTTAGAAAACATGTAGGTGTGTGTTTAACACATTTCTATGTGTCTTTTTACTAGAAGATTTTATTAGATTGTTAAAAATTTGCACATATTTTATTTTTACTTTTGCATATTGTTTAAGAAAAAGCCATTAATATATAGTAGCATGACAAATATCTGTTGCTTTTGAACTGAAGGCAGATGGTTCTTGCTTCCTCAGAGGATCCCAATCATGCTCTCTAATTGCAATTACAAAATTTAAGATTAAGGTTCCCATATAAAGAAATCTAAGATAAAGGTTCCTGAATAAAGTAATGGAATGACTGATAAGGCGCTTAACTAACAAAGAATTAAAAGAATAAAATATAATTAAGGACATTTATCACAGCCTTAAGGAAGACAGAACCAGACTAATTTGGTGTGTTTTTACATGGTTGATTACAATGATACTGTCAATATGGTATACTTACATTACTGTAAGGTACTTGACTTGTTACTGGATGACTCCTTGCTTAAAACAGTAGAGCAATACAAACTCAGCCATGGCAAATAACAAGTAAATTCAGAACTGCTTAATTGGCAGGTCTGCCGACTGCAATGGTGTCGAATGGGAAATCTTGTTTGAGGAGGGGCATGGAAAGGTTTTCCTCCTCATTTCTTTCCCTTTATCCATGACCTGGGAAAGAATCAAATTTATTAATATTGTGGATAACGCAGGGGCCAGGAAAATTGTACAGACCACTGACAAAAGGCAGTCTGCATCACCAGAGTACTCAGCTTGCATGATATTTTAGTATTTTAAGTATAAAGACACAGCTAGAAACAAAGCATGAAGGCCGTACTTACTTAGACGATGCATATCTCTCTTGTGGCAGTCAGTGACTGTGAAATGAGCTTCCTAGT